GGGGAGCTGCTCAGCTGGCTGGTACCTCTACGCAGAACCTCCTCAGACTCTTCTCCACAGGGACTTGGCACGAAGGGAAAGCCTCCCTTGTCCAAAGGTGAGTGAATCTTACTAGAAAAGCCCACGAGGGCAGGCCAGGCCCAGGCTCCCGGCCGGCGACTGCTCTGGGAAGGGGCAATGACAGGTCTGAGGCATTACAAGCTGAGTTATGACCTGGGACCCTGAGGTGTGCCCCGCTCCCCTCCCCAGTGCCCTGAGGCCAAGCCAGGAAACCTGAACCCAGATGTGTTATTCCTGCAGCCCCAGACAGGCAGGCAGGCTGGCAGGCTGGCGGCTCCACAGTCCTGTGGGCATCTTCGCCAGTCAATGGCGCCCTCTGCTGGCAGCACGGAGAGCAGCAGTTTCAAGGGAGAGGCCTTGGGAGTCTGGCACTGAATGCTAATGATAAAGCGCAAATGATAATAGCGATGGTACAAATGGTACGATGGTACAATTATAATGATGCACATTGACAAGAACAAGAAGGAGAAGACGAGATATTTTTCAGAGCGTCTTGGAGCCAGGCACTGTGTTCGGCACTTTACACAGATGGCCTCAGGTTTGGGGGTTTTATCAAGTTATTTTTGTTAGATGTCATTGATCAACAAATGGGCCACAACAACAATGGGCCCATTGGGCACCAAACACACCGTTGTTCTTATGGTTGAGCTATTGGTGCAGCAACTGTGTTGATCCCTCTGATGGAAGGTCTTCCTCTTTCACACGGCCCCTCCCTTTACAAAGCACTATGTCTGTGCTTGTCTGGGTGGACTCGAGAAACAAATCCAGAAGCGTGTGTGTGTGTGTGTGTGTGTGTGTAAGAAAGAGCTTGGTAGACAAGAGTGATTGAATACTGAGAAAACATAGCCAGCCCCGTCCAGATCAAGTTCATAAGTCTGATATTAGCCCATCTGTCCAATACCAATAAAAAAATTCCTCTTCAGACTTATGCAACATAGGCAATGATGCTGAATGCAGGAAGATCACAGGCTAGTGGGTGGAAAGTCTCGTGGATCCAGTGGTGGTGGAAGCATCTCAGCACTGGCTGGCAGGGCTCTCTACGTGGCTCCTCCTGCTCAGGGCACTAGCATAGCTCCAGGTGTCCTGTCAGCAGGAAGACAAAACAGAGAATGTCTGTGTCCCACTTCCAGCGAGCTATTTATCTCCTTCATGCCTCCAAATGAGGTCATCCAGCTGTGACCTGATTGACAGGCTAGACTCCACCCCTTCACAAGTTGACAGGAGATTCTGTAACTGCCACAATGTCCTTCTCCAGGGACTGGTCCCTCCTGACAACATGTCCAATGCACATGAGACAAAGTCTCACCATCCTTGTCTCTAAGGAGCCTTCTGGCTGCATTCCCTCCCAGGCAGGTTGTCTGTTGTTCCTCTGGAGGTCCATATTTCAACCGTCTTCACCAGCACCGTCATTCGAATGCATCCATTCTGGCATCCTCCTTGTCCTGTGTCCATCTTGCACACGCATGGGAGATGACTGAAGATGCCATGATTTGGGCCAGGTGCAACTTGGTTCTCAAAGTGACATCCTGACTCTGTAGCAGGGGGCGGTGAACTTTTGAGATGGAATGGCCGAGATGGAATCCCTCACAAAAATTAAAAATTTAACAATTAAACAATTGTTAAAAAAAAATTATAAAAAAATTAAAAATTTATTCTAGAGCCACAAACACATTTTTACAAGCAAATGAAGTCACCATTTTCTGAATAATATCCTTTTAATGCAACTGGGATATTTGATTTGCGTTTTCGACTTCACTTCAGAGCCGTGTACTAAGAGCTGCAGTTGGCCGCCCTGCTCTGTGCACACTGGCATTCTCGTCACTGTCCTGATGAAGCAGTGGGGTTCAGAGCTGTTGGACACTTGCCCCAGGTGACGCTGGGGTAGGTGTTCATATGCTTCCACAGCCCTGTCCTCTCTAGCTTGAGAAAAGGCAGTCTTATCTAGCCTCGTTCATCTGGTGGTGCAGTGGGTTAAGGGTTGGGCTGGTAACTGAAGTATGGTAGTTCAAATCCAACCGCTGGTTGCTTCTTGGGATACCGGCAAGGCAGTCTGCTTCTGTGAAGATGTGCAGCCTCAGAAGCTCCCCATGTGGAGCAGGCCTACCCTGTCCTATAGGGTCGCTGTGAGTAGAAATGGACTGGACAGCAGTGGGTCCTTTGAGACCCCTTCCCTCGTGGCCCATTTTGTCCCGGTAATCCCCCTGTGGCTGGCATGCTGGGGGAACCAAGGCTCACTTCGCGGTGTGATGGGAAATGCCCCAAGCTCATAGGGTTGCCAGCCTTGGCAAATAGAAATGTAGACACCTGGTTAAATTTAATTTTAAGCCTAGACAGGAGATGTTGAGTATACTTACGCTAAATAAAAACTTGCTGCTTATCCGCTCTGGTGATGCATCCATTAAGCACGTGACTGACTGGAAAGGTGGTCAGCTCAAACCCACCCAAGGGCTTCAAGACAAAGAAGAACACATTCGATCCATGTGCTGTGAAGAACATTGAATAAAGTTCCACGGACCACCAAAGGAACAAGCGAATCTGTCCTTGGAAGAAGTACAGCCAGAATGCTCCTTAGAGACGAGGCTGACGAGACCCTGTCTCGTGTACTTGGGCCGTGTTGTCCTGGGGCAGGACCTCATGCGTAGTAAAGTGGAGGGGCAGTGACAGACAGGAAGGTCCTCGAGGCCACGGACTGACACCCGGCTGCAACAACAGGCTCCAACACAGAAACAATTGCGAGGCTGGCATAGGACCAGGCGGGGTTTTGTTCTGTAGAACACAGGGTTGCTCTGAGTCAGAACCACTCCAGGCACCGAACAACCACGCTGGCTCCGCGGGAGAAAGGCCTGGTGACAGCCGCAAATCAAGTCGAGGACACCCTGCGGAGCCGTTGTACTCTGCCACGAGAGGGCGCTGTGCGTCAGAATTCACTGGATGGCATCCTTGCTTTAGTCTGGTCCCTCCCTCTGCCACATGCTAAGGGTGTGGCTTTGGGCACATCCTGTAGCCACCGAGCTTCTGTGACCCGTGCACAAACAAACCCTTCCTCAGGCCTCCATGAGACCCACAGGGTTTTGATTGGCTGATTTGGGGGGATATGAGATTGCCAGGCCTGCCTGCCTTCCTTGTCCGCCTTAGCCTGGAAGCTCTGCTGAAACCTGTCTAGCATCACAGCTGCACACAGCTCCCAGCATATGAGCTGCTAGAGTGGAAATACGCCGCCTCCCAGGGTTACGCTGAGCTTTGCAGCCCTGGCGTTCCTGCTGCAAGGCCTGCCTCCTTGGGCACATCACAGGCCCTCTCCGCCTCTGGATTCACAGGAGCCAGGGGGCCCGAGCAGATGGGGAGCGGCAGGGCCTGGCTCAATTCCTCCACTTTTGGGGTCTTTCCCCTCATGGTCACTGGATGTTTGGCCTTGCCTCTGACACCCTGTATTCACAGCTCTGTGTCCAAAGGCCAGAAAGAAAGGGGCTCCCAGCTCTGCAGACACTCCCTCTGGACTCCTCATCCAGAACGGGACTAGAGAGACTTAGGATGCTGACTAGAAGTTTCCACTCCAGTGACGGCAGGCAGGCTTGGCTTGCAAAGGAAAAGGCAAGACAAACAATTGTTGGCCAAGAACAAAGACAGCAGCCTCTGGGATGGTGGGCATTGTGCTAGGGGCTACGTCTATGTAGATTTACATGAGTTTACTTACTGACTTTCATCCTCGTGACGACACCACTACAGGTTCAAGCCCAGGCTGACTATGGTGAGAAGGATGGGCTCTATTCCTTCACCGTCTGTCCAGGAAGGCCTGCGTGTTGTAATGGTGCTGAAGGTTTCCATGGAGCGTCCAGGCTGGGATGCACCAGAAAGAAGGGCCTGGTGACCTACCATCCTTATAAAAAGCAGTCAGTGGAAACCCTGCGGTTCACCACACTCTGATCTGCACTGGGTCCTGGGAGTGGACCCCACGTGCAGTGCCCAGCCCCCCTGGGGTCCTCATGCATTATGGCTGTCTCCACAGGAACTAGCAACAACCACTCCACTGCACTGGTGAGAAAGAGAAGCCAAGAAAAGCCAAGCAACCTGCCTGGGCCCTTAGAATAACTCCAGAAAATCCTCCAAACACACTCTCATCCAGTTGCTTGGGACTCATGGCAGCCCTGCAAGACAGACCCCTCTGAGTTCCTGAGACTGCAGATATTTAAGGGAGCAAAAATCCTAATCTTTCCCTGGAAGTGTCACTGGTGGGCTCAAACTGCTGACCTTGTGGTTATCAGCCCAACAAGTACACGATTACTACACCAGCAGAGTCAGTCACCAACCACCATTTCTGAACCTGGAGCTAAACTCTTGCGTCCCTCTGGAGGCAGGGTCTGCCCACCCGCTGATACGCATGATCAGCTTCCATCACATCACAGTGCCCAGATGTGTCTCCTTTGGGCCCAGGAAAAGGCCTGCACCATGTAAAGGCGAACAAGGTAACCGTGAAATTTGGCACGACTATGGAAAGGGCCAGGTTCACAATGGGAATCCAGAGAATGCTCCTTTCCAGCTCCCTCTCTGGTTTCTGCAGATGCTGACATGTGTTTACCTGATAGCACCTTTCTTAGCTGGGGCAGGCAGCACCTGGGTCTAGCTGTGCCCACCCAATGAGCTCTCACCTCTCGCACTGCGTGCTAGGCAATGCCACCATACACAGCAATCGGATAAGAACACTTCAAGCACCCCACAGCAATTCTAAATCAAGCCCACCTGACAGTAAAAGCATTCTTAAAGCTCCTTTTATCACCGTAACAGTAGCTCTGAAAATCTCAGAAGACAAAAACACAGCTTACACTAACACGATCCACATACTTAAGAGAGTTTCACATTGAGCAAGAAATAGCAAATAAAAACCAACACATTTACAATAGTAAAGTGTAACACAATTCATCTGTTTTTATAACACCATAATAGACCCTGCACAAGCAAGGTCTCAAAAAGTTAGCTAATGACTCAGAGTCGTTTCTCTCCACGGAAACCTTTAGTAAAAGGCGAAAGATTTATACGATCTGAAGAGAAACCAGAGTATAAGGAAGAGCTAGGTCGGCTCATCACTGGGGTAACTGATACACCTAATACACTAATGGTGACTGCAAGGAGCAAGAACCGGCGGCATCTCCCTTTTTCTTGTACAATTCCATGAGAGTATTCTCATCTTGGGGTCACAAGGAGCGGAGACTTTAATTGTTTTAAAGTGGAAACTTTGGCCTCTGTGCAATGCATTGTGGATATGTAAATATAGTTAGCGTCATCACCCTCCAGTTTCCGGAAATAGTTACGGAGCTGGGGGCACCCCTAGGGGGCAGAGCGGAGACCAGTTTCAGGGATCTAGACCTGAGCCTTGTCGAACCTGCAAATCCGACTTTGTTTTTACAACCACAGCTCCGGCAACATTTTATCTTGACAACACCTACAACAGCACCAATCATGAGAACAGTACATTCCTGTGGATCAACTCTGCCCCCTTGTGGTATTTGTTACAGCGGCGCTGGATAAAAAGGACACTGGAATTCAATGGAAAGATGGGAGGTTTGCTGGTTGGAACCCGAGGGGTGCCTCTCCAACATACATTCACCCCCACTTGGATGTCAGCGGCGTGGTTTCCGGAATTGCCCCAGCTCCGGGGGATGAGTTCTGAGTGAAAAGTGAAGCCGAAGCAGTTGTCCTCAAGACAATTCCAAGTCAGGGGGACCCAGTGTGTGACAAAGTAGGACCTTGCACCCTAAGATTTTCAGTGACTGTTTTTCTCCCCAAAGTAGATCACCAAGCCTTTCTTTTCAGGCTCTTCGGGGTGGACTCTTGATGAGAGTAGAAAGCCTCATCTTTCTCCCAGGGAGTGCCTGCTGGTGGGTTCAAACAGCTGACCTTGTGGTTAGCAATGACACGTGACTGCTAAGCCAGCAGGGCTCCTTGAGTTTTCGCCTGGCCACTTGGCTCTCATCCCTGAGCCGTTCATGCTCATGCGGGATTGGAAGCAGGGGATAGAGAGACCAGGGCTGCCATCACAATTAGAAAGCCAGGCTTCCCTTGGGAAGGGTCAATGTCCCCTGCATTTGGGTTGAGGGGGTGGGGGACGAGGGGGAATTCCAGTCCTTTGAAACCTCAGTCACTAACTATTCTTAAAATGGGGGTGTGTGTCTCAGGACCCCCATCATATTACGAAAACATTTTTCAAAGCAATCTCACTTTGTATTTTCCACATAGGTGCATTTATGTTTTATTGATGGTCCTTGTTAGATGCCATCAAGTCTGCTCCAACCCACTGTGACCCTGGCATAAGTACAACCCACGGCCCGGGCCTGTTGCATCTTCCCAATTGCTGTTAGGTTTGAGCCCATTGCTGCTGTCGCTGTGTCAATCCACCTTCCTCTCTCTCCCTGACCCTCCACTTGACCAAGCAAGAGGTCCTTCCAGGAACCGGTCTCCCCTGACCTGTCCATAGTACAGGAGACAAAGTCTCACCCTCCTTGCCTCTAAGGAACATGCTGGGCTTGTTTCTTCCAAGACAATATTAGCATTCATTATTTTGCTGTGTTTACTAGTAACTGTTGTTTATGCCAGCTACACTCAGCACTATTTAGTGGATTAGAAACTGGCATTGATAAAGCTGTAAAATACTTATTGTAATAAAATTTGCAATCCCTTGTATTCAACGTAACATTTTTGTGTACACTCACCGTGATCCTCAACACAACAACATTTAGTGAGAGGAGGGGCGATGGTTATAAATCTCTTTCAGCTCCTCCTCCATGGGAGGCAGCCGGGTTCTCCGGGCTGCCCGCCCTCCCTCGGTCTGTGGAGATACAGTGGGTGAAGCTGATGAAGAGCATCTGGCCTCACACACACACACACACAGCGTTAGAAAGCAAAGCAAAAGAGAACAAGCCACTTGAGCCAGTTCCAATTCAGAGCCACCCACGAGGACCGAGTGGAACTGCCTTGTAGAGTTTTCTAGGATCTTCTCTCTCTCTCTCTCTCTCTCTCTCTCTCTCTCTCTCT